GCTTATATGGGCTTTAGAGAAGGAGAGAGACAGGGAGTGAACGCAGGAGACGGAGCTGCGTGAGGAGGGCCAGGCAGGCACGTGTCTTCGCCCGAGATCTTGGCCAGACCCCATCTCCCCCCCACCCACAGTGTGCCCCTGACACACTGGTATTTCTGGCTCACACAAGCTGCCACTAACATGTCATTTACTGTAGCATGGCAGTCTCTGATTTCAATCGTTCCTCTCTGTGTTGGGAGAAAACTGTGCCATTAAGACGCAGTGCACGCTGGACCCCTCCAGGTCTAGTCTGGTCCTGTTTCTACAGGATCCTAGGCAATGCCTGCTTCACGGGACCTTCCTCAGGCTCACCTCAACCTTGCAGCCACGCTCCAACTGGCCCTTTCACCTGGCTTTGCACAGTGCTAAACGGTTGCCAGTGCCTGCATGCAAGGTGGCTGTCCCCGCAGGAAGAGCTGTCTCCCCTCAGCAAAAGCTCCCCCAGCACCCCGCCCCCCCGGGTCACAGACTGTGACAGAGCCTTATTGCCTGTCTCTGGGAATTCATTTCCTGTCCCTCCTCTGTTCCACCGCTCTGGGGCTCCCCGGCCCTCCCCAATCCCTCAGCGCTGTGCCCCCTCATGTTTGCCAGGCAGCTGGCTGCCTTCATTATTTTTACGCCAACACAGTTTAAAAATCTCCGCTGCCTCCTTGCTGTCTGCGGAGAAGCGGCTGCCGCATTACTCTGACATGCTGATGTCATTAGGGCCCACACGCACTCTCTCCGGCTAATGAGGCGGCAGAAAGAAAATTAAGGGGAAAAATCACACAGGCACATTGCTTTCTATGTAGATGGAGGAATAAAACGAGAGCAAGAACAGCAGAGGTGCGGGGTGGGTGACAGCCGCCTCCCTCCCCCCCGGGGCAGGGCACGCACGCAGCTCTGTGAGGAGGGAAATGGAGTCTGGCTTTTGACTATTGCAATCCAGGATTCTCCCACTAAAAATCCTGTGGAATTGGAGGAGTGTGAGTCACTTTACCTACATCTGTAGTTGGATAAAAAGAGAACATGACACTGTTAGGTCCGTATTTCAGCACGGTCAATACCGAGAAGGGAGGCTAGACCAGAGGTTTGCAGATGTTTCCAGAACCTGGCATTCTTGCAGTCAACCTCCATTCCCCTGTTCAAGCCACGTGCATCCTCCCCCGGAATGCTACACCCGCCTGTGGGTTCCCACCTGGCCCCTCCCCGGGCACGCTCTCTGCACTTGAGCAGAGAGATCATCCTCAAACACTCATTTGATTCTGTCATTTCTGCTCCTTAAAATGGTGTCATAGAGTCCCACTGTTGTAAAGACAAAGGCTCAGCCTCCTGATAAGGCCTGGCCTCTTGCTCCCTCTGGCTGTTTCCTCTCCGGAAACTAGGTCATCTTTCCGGCACACATGGGGCAGTGCTTCATCTGCCCCAGGCCGTTTGCCTCAGCTGTTCCTTCTGCCTGGAGTGGTCCTTCTTCCTCCTTTTACTTAGCTAAGTCTTCAGCCTTCAGATCTGGACTCACTCCACACACGTTTGGGGAGCCTCTGACCCACCTCCAGGCCAAGCCCCCATTTGGCACTTTCAGGATGTGGGGGGTCTTGGTTGTACGGCTCCTCTCTCTCGCCACTGCACCTTCACACTCGTGTGTGTGGGTGTCTCAAGTCAAGGCTGTCTCACCCTGGAGACCGGAAGCTCCCGGAGGACAGGAAATACACAGGCTCAGGTGCCACACTAACTTCAGCTCTGAGCACAGCAGTTCCCTAGAAATGTTTGTTGACTGAATAAATAAGTGCTTAAGAGATGGCTGTGGGGTGTACAGCCTGTGTGGTTTGGGGGAGATGGGTCACTGCTGGTGTTGTCCCTGCACTTTCCACCAGTCAGCTGGTGGGCTGACTAATTATTTACAACTGCCCAGCTGAGGGGCAGAAAGATGGGCGAACGAAGCCCTTTATTCCAGACCAAGCACCCAACCCCACAAAGTCAACTACTGGCAGTTGCAAAACAAGTCTGGAACCCACACGAGTGTGTGTTTCTCTGCCCCTTTCTCCTGCTCTCCTACAGGCAGGCCCCGCCTATCTTGACAACTTCCAGAATTCAACCTGGCTGCCCCTGCCACGGCGCCTGCACCTGTCCTTGGGCCGAATACCAACTCTGGGGTTAACTAGCGGTCATCTGGGCACAAAGCCCTGGCACTGTCAACATGCTGGCTTCCCAAGCCCTGACACGGCTTTGATCTTCGCGGCAGAGCAGTGCGCGCGGCTCCGAGGGAGGCTTGAGTCCGCCCGCAGCCCTGACGGTGCCTTTGTTTGCGCGCAGGGAGCTGTGATTTATGTCATGAGCTCACTGTGAAACCTTTGCCTCGGTGATTCCGAGCTCCGTGGGCGTCTCTTTACATCTATTTAAAGCACTGCTGCTGCCCGCGGATGGCGGGCTCTGTGACACTCCCTGTGCCTCTGTGCACGCCTCGCCATGGCACTGAGTTCTGCCTGCAGAGCATCTTTGTGCCTCGATTCAGTGTGTTTGCTGCGCGCTCCATGGGGCTGCTAAGCCGAGTGGCGTCTGTCCCTTTGATGTCCCACGTGGTGATGAGACTCCATCCCTGGTGGAGCGAGGCGGTCTGCGTGGAGGGAGATGCCGCTGCCAGATTTATGGCGTGGGCCCTAGTAGTCCTGCGGCAAGGCTGGGACAGCACAGGTACCTTTTCGTATGCTTGGGCGAGTCTCAGTGTGGTTGGTAAATGTGTTGCCAGCCACAACCTTGCTGCTGGCCAGGAGCTCCAGGCTCTACTGGCAGCGGACCTCATCAACACTCTTTCCTGGGGTGCCCCTTAGAGGTGTGGGGGACCTCAGCGCAAAGAGGTTGAATCCCCATTTCCAAAGATTTGATCACAGGCCGTGCACCCTGCGGTTGCTGTGATCCCCTTTATTCATTCAACAAACACTGACTGAAACCCTGTAGGTGTTGATACAGTGCTATGTGCAGGGGAGGCAAATGTCACAATGTTTATTTTGTGAAAGCCTCAAAGTTTTAAGATTTCTTAAGTAAACTCCAATTCCTCCCACAGTGGTGTGGAATTGCTGGGAGGTTCACTGTCACTTTCAGCAGCCAAGCACTTCTTATGGCCTCTTGGCCCCAGCTGTAACTAACTGCCCCCAAATCCGACTCTGTGGTCAAGTGGGTCCCCCACAGAACCGTGCTCCATTCCTGTGTGGCTGACACAGAATGCGGGACCCTGGGATAGTGCCTCTGGAGTCCTGGAGGGGAAGCACTGTGCCTTGGCCTGCATCTCGGGGTCAAGGTAGGATACCTCTTCCCTGCCTGGAGACAGAGTGCAGGTGCTAGAGGTCCTGTCCTCAGGATGGTACCTGCGGGGCTGCACCTAGGCCTTGGAAAACTGGACCAAGACCACGCAAATTGAATTCTTTCAAGGCTCACAAAAGCTTATTACTAGTCACTACTGAACTGTATTGACTTTTCTTTTCTTTAAAAGAATTTGCCCCAGTATTTTTCACTTGTGGCCCATTGTGTAAAGTCTTCTTTCTTTCTTTTTTGTTTGTTTCTTGCTCACTCTCTATGTAGCTGAAGTGTGCATCTCAGCTTAATGTAGGCACCATGTGACTTGGAGGGCAGAAGGTGGGTCTCGTTTCCATTGTGTCAGTTGATGAATTAAGACTGCTAGTATTGGGAAGTATTAAAATGTGAATTATGAATACGAAAGGTAAGTGTTGTAGAATATAAAAATGCTAACATTTCTTCTTTTTCAAGGGTCCATCATATTGAAAACACTTCATTAGTAGAGAGCCATGAGCGAATTACTCAAAGACTGTGAAGTTGGAGTAAGAGGAACTTGTCAACATGTTCGTCCAGTAAGGAAGCACTCAGGGAGTTGTCTGGGTAGATTTTCTAGGTCTCACCTATGATTTTAGAGATACAGCCTTTGCTCTGTATGCACTGCAAGTGCAAAGTTGGCGTTTGAGAGAAATGTGTGCATCTCGCTATTTCAGGTCATCTAGAAATCGGTCCTTTTTGTGTAACAGCTTTTCAGCTATTTGTTCAAAACTTCTCAGGCCAAACTATATCTCTTGCATATGACTGGTGAATTGGGGTAAAAGCGATAATTTAAAAATTAAACACACCCAACTTTACATCTAATGGAATGACTTTCCCTCAGTGAAGTCTTTTGGAGAGGACAGCCTCTTATTCTAACCAATATTTTGGTAACTTTTCTTTTGGAAACATTTTCTATCTCTCGAGCATTTTCTCTGATGAAAAATCTTTTATTCTTCATCTTTATTATTTCAGGGTATATGTGACATGTTGAAAAAGGGACAAGCTGCTCAAAGTCAAGTCTGCAAAGTGGGGTTGAGGTCCCAACACAGCCCTGACCCTGGACGCTGCCCTTTACCTGGTTGAGGCTCAGGTAGGAGAGTGTCCTGTGCCTGGGCATAATTCACAGGAGTGTGGTGAGGACTGAATGTGAGAAATTTGCAAATGTGTGAAGTGCTATCACTAATCTCATTAATAAGGTGGATGATCACATTGGGTAATTTGTTTCCTATCACATGCCAGATGTGACAAGACGCTGTCATTGTTCACTAATTACACCAAAAGATAAGCTGCCAAAATATTTTGGGCCATCACGGCATCATTGGAATAAGCCTGGCATTCCTAGGTGACCGCTTTGAAAGGACGCACTTGCATATGCTTAGTGACACCCTACCCTCTTAATTTTCTGGTAACTCTGGCCAGGAGGCTCTGGGCCCTTGTCCCTCAAAGCGTGGTCCCAAGAACAGCAGCCTCTACTCACCTGGAAAGTGGTTGGAAGTACAGACTCGCCCAGCCCCGACCCAGGGAATCGGAATTCTTCATTTGAACTAGGGCGTTCTGGGTCCCTTAAAGTTTGAGGGGCGTTGCATGCCACCCAACAACAGGCTGGGTCCCTGCACTGCAAGGCTCCGGTGGGCTGTCCCGAGGCCCCCGCTTACCTTGGGGAAGGCGTCGGGCCACACGGCGGGGGCGCCGTGGTTGAGCAGCGCCTGCGCGGTGCGCTGCGGCGCGGGGTCGGGCGCGCAGGCGGCCACCTGCAGCACGCGGGCCAGCGGCGAGGCGCCGCCGTAGTCGAGCGCGCCCGGGTCGGCGCCGTGCCGCAGCAGGAGGAGCGCCAGGTCGGGCCGCGCGTGCCCGCAGGCCTTGTGCAGCGGGCCGCGCTCGTCCTCGTCGCGCGCGTCCGCCGCCGCCCCGCCCCGCAGCAGCAGCGCGCACAGGCGCAGGCAGCGCGCGTGCTCGTCGGGCCGCCGCGCCGCTCCGCACGCCGCGCTCAGGGCCGTCTCGCCGCTGGCGTTCCTCGCGTCCACGCGCGCCCCGCGGCCCAGGTAGAGGTGCGCGTGCTCGTCCAGGCCGCGCTGCGCCGCCACGTGCAGTGGTGTGTCCCGGCCCGCGCCGCCCGCGCGGTGCACCGAGGCGCCGTGTTCCAGCAGCGCCTGCGCGCACCTGCGGGGAGGCCGAGGCCGGTCAGCGTCCCGCGGGGCGGGTGGGCTCCCGCAGCAGCAGGGTGGCTCGAGGGAACGGACGGGGCCTCAGCTCTCCCGAGCCCGGAGTTCAAGATGGGTGGGGGGGCAGGGGCGGGACACGGCCACGGACGGTTAGATTATGGCAAAGGCTGACGTGGGAGGCCACTGCTTGCAAATGGTGGAAGTATCTAGGGACGTCCACGAATCCACGCGCAGAGTTAAAATTTAGGACTTTGTAACTGGTACTGCTTTGGAGGGCCTTGTGCCTGCGGAGGTAATGCGGCCGCATGGCGGTGCCAGCAGCACGCGGCACCTGTGCTCGGTCCTGGGCGGCGGCTGAGGGCCTGGGAGCGGCAGTTCTAAGGGGAGTTCCTGAGCTCTCTCAGCCCGCGTGTTCCTTTTCCATAAGCCGCCCAGTTTGGGGGACAGTGTGAGAGAGGGGTTGCCCGCTGCCACGTGAGAATCCCTCCATCCCTCCCGGCACTGACACAGGTGGGTACTGGCGGCCCTCAGACAGCGCTGGCAGCGTGGTGGGACACACCCATGCCTACCGTGGGCCTGTCTTTGTTTCAACCAGACTCTTCTTGCACAGACTGTGGATCTGGGCTGTACCCAAATTCCTCGATGGTCTCCTGGGGTCCCAGGCTGTCATGGGACACTGTGGTCTCCCCCAGGAGTGAGTGTCTTCTGCCTCCAGGTCCACCATCTGGATGCCAGTGTACTGACTGTCCTCACCCCTGAGCCCTCTCTGCAGGAGAGCAGCTTCCACAGAGCCGCTGCCCAGCTGGGAGAGCCCCGAACACCTCCATGGAAGCACAGATGGAAGGCTGCAGACCAGGCAGGCCCCCATCGGGCCTCTGGCCAGCCACCCAGACTCCCCTCCCTTCTGCTGGCCCTTGTCCTTTGTGGGTACTGCCAAAACACCAGCCCACTTCAGCCACTCGCTTCTGGGACACCTCCAGGCATTGCCACCAATGTGGCCCCTGCACCTTCAGAGCCCGTCGCTCCAGTGTGCCAACTTCTGGCAAGGGCCTCCGGTCCATCCAGCTTACTCATGCCTGTCAGAACCCTCCTCATCTCCTCTCTCAAGAGGAGAGCCCTGGCCCCTTGCCCTCAGCCCTTCCTGACCTAACTTCCTCCCCTGGGCAGCACGGCAGCCGCTCTGTTCTCGGCATCCTCAGCTCCTGCGGGCCTCACCAGTTTCATTTCCTGGTGCTCCAATCCCACCTGACCAGTCTCCTGGCCTCACACCTTTAGTGTGCTGCTCCTTCCAGGGATGCCCTGCCTCATGTGATGGCAGACGCATTCCTGTCTTTCCTTCTTTTTCCTCTTGAATGCCTTCAGAGTGCCACCGAGCGAGACTCACACCTCTGTGTTGTCATATACCCTGTACGCGAGCACCTGGGCGCAGCATTTATGACACCATGTTTCAAATGTTTGTTAGCAGCTTTGCCTGCCTCAGTGTAGAAATGGGGTTTTATTTCTGCTTCTCGGTGCCCACAGCAGGGCTGGCCCACCGCTGGTACTTCCTGAAAGCATGTTGAACAAATGCATTTTGTTAATGAGCATCTTTTGGCTTTGCCTCGTGTGGCCGCTCTTCCTGTTATTTATCTAACTGGGGCTGTGAACGAGCTCAGCCATTGAGGGTTTCTGGGCTGGAAGTGGGGGCCCTGAAATCTGCTTATATTTCCATCCAGGGACTCGCAGTACTTTTAATTCTCTCGGTATTTCTCTAGCTTCCATATCAGCAGTATCTTGAAAAGTGGTCCGTCCCGGGTGAAAGATCTTTACAAACAAGTACAGTTTGATGGGAAATGTCCTTTGGGACAATAACTGACTAAGAGAGGATGCAAATTTTACAATCAGAGAGCTTCAGATTTGCTTCCTCCTTGTTGCTCGAGGGGGGGTGGGGGGGTGGGTGGGGGGGGAATTTTGAGCAGTGCAGCGGGAGGTTAAAATCAAGGGTTCCATCTCATTTTGCCACCGAGCCTGTGTGTGCTTGCAAACAATTACACAACATTTTCTTCTACCTTTTTTTTTGTTAAAGCAGCCCAGCCTCTTCAAGGAAGTCTGCCGGGAAATACAGTGGGGCCTTTTTTCCATGTCCACAACCTACCTGGCTGATGGCCAGGTTGCTCTTTGCAACAAGGATATCTTTCTGAAGGGTGAGGGCACTGGCCCACCTTCTGGAGGGCTGCAATGTTCTTTTCATTTTTAATGAAAAACTTCTAATTGGCTAAACCACTGCACTTCCTTAGAGTGGGTAATGATGGAAGTTGCAGACCACAGGCATGAGAAAAACCAACTCAGTATACTGACTGGGGTGCATCTGCTGGCACACAGTGGGCAGTCATTAAAAATAAAATGAAGGTGTGGGAGCCTGTTTAATGACATGGAACACTGTTTGCAATGGTTATGTGAAAAGATGAGGTTACCAGACAGCACTGAACAGTCTCGTGAAAAAAAAAAAAAGCAGATATGTGTATGCATCGAAAGAAAGCCTAGAAATATATAGGCCAATGTGTGTTTTCCTCTGGATGATGGGGTGATGGGTGCTTTTATTTCCTTTTTGCCTGCCTGTATTTTCAAAATTTCCATAATGAATCAGGGCTACAGGTTGAAAGCGGAGCAACGAGAGAGGTTATTAATAACAAAACCATCCCCTGCCAGCCACAGCAACAGCTCGTGGATTCTAAGAGTGTCAGCTTAGCTTTCCAGGTTCCCAGGATGCTCTGAGATTTTCCGCTGATCTGTGCAGGCACAGGCAGTGATCTCAGAAAGTATGTGAAGCGCCACGAGAAGGTGAGTCTAGAGGAGAGGACTGGAGTGGGTGGCAGGGACTCAGTGATAAGCAGACAGATGACCGTCTTGGGGACCCCCTAGATCTGACCTTGTGTGTGCCAGCATCTCCAGTCAAAAAAGATATGGCCCAGTGGGGAAAGCACACCCAAGACTTTGCAGGACCGTGTGGGCCACCCCGCTTTGGGGCCCTTTCCTCCAAGGGCGGGGATTTTGTGAGCAGGTTTCCTGCTTTCCTGATAGACAGGCAAGTCAGGAAGGCCTGGGCCAGTGTGGATCAGTCACTGTCAGGGACCGAGCGTCAATTCCCATGTGAGGGGGTCAGAAGGACCTGTCTCTGTCCTGCAGGGATTAAGGCGATACTGGGTTTTCCAAACAGCCTCTGACACGAAGCAGTTCAGGCAAACTCTAACCCGCCGATCCCTCAGTCCATCTTTGGCAATGATCGTGGTGACAGGCTGTTCACGGGCCCAAGGTTGACAGTACACAGAAAAATTATCTTGAGCCAAGATGCAGGAGTTAACAGAGATGAGCCCATCAGGGCTGTTAAATAAATGTCATTTTCACTTCTCTGTAAAGTAGGGGTAGGACTCTGCACCCACATCTGGCACACCAGTCTCACTTGCCCTCCCAGCATGGGGTTTCCCAGCTCACCCCCCAGGGGCAGGAGGTCCACATGCAGGCCTCAGCCTGGGCTTCCCCTGGTCAGCACCACCTGCCCAGCCTCTCTGCATTCCATGAGACATCACCTGCTGATGGCTTCCCTTCATCCGTCTGCCCTCCTCCCCACCTCTCTGCTTACACAAAGCCCTCAAAAGTGGTATTTCACAGCCTCTGCTTCTTAGCTGGAAGGTCATTGCATTCCCCAGTACTTGATCTTTTTGTTTGTTTGAAAAAATGTTATCATCAGCTCTTGCTGCAAATCTGCATTGTAGGTCGAATTTACAGGTGGGGAAATTGAGGCTTAAAGGAAGCCCAGTGACTTGCCTGCAGTCATAGAACCAGGCAGCGGTGAAGCAGAGACTGCTCTGTTTGCCTTCAAAGTCCTGCCACATGCCCCACCTGCTTCCTCTTACCATTGGTATCATTTGTTCAGCACCTTCTGCGAGCCAGGCACTGTACTAGGCATTTTCCATGAGTTATTTCTGAATTTTTCATTCACTCATTCATTCATCCATTCAGTAAGTATTGAACATGTACCACAACAGCCTTTCAAGGCTGGGAGAAGTACTCCTCTGAGCACTACACAAGCATTTCTGCGCAGACCCACTGACCAGACATGGAAGGCAGGGCAAGGCGGGGAAGGTCCCCTGTCCCATACGTTCATGCTGTGGGGCACGTGACAGCAGCCTGCTTCTCACCCAGTGCTGCTGGCAACCCTGCAGGCCAGACTTCATTTTCATTCCCCTCTTTTAAGCGAGGATTCAGTTTTTGAGGTCTAAGCAGTGATCTTAAGGGTAGGAACCTGGGAGATGATAGTTACCCACATCCTGCTTGGGATGTGAACCCCAGCTACTATGGAAAATAGCACAATTCAACAACCACCAAAAGATGGTACCGGAAAAGCAGTGTGCATGACAAAAAAAAATATTAAAAGTAAGGCTAAGTTCAAGATTCAAAAAATCACGTGCTTTTTCCATGGGGAAACAGACACTGCTAAGCATTTTGTTGGGTATGTTAAATATCTGTGTCCTGGTTTCTATTGCTGGAAGTCACTGGAGCCCTTGGACAATCCCGATGCCCTTGACTGCTCTCCTCACATGACTGCTGCCCTATCCCATCTGACAGACGGGGGGGGGGTTTCATGCCAGACAATGCGTGCTGTGAGAAAAACGGGTGTTAGGAACCAGTCCTGTTGAATCATCATCACAGCTACTTTTCCTTTGCGGAGTTGACGTGGTGGTAGATGGGCTGCAGCCATGTCCCCAGGGTGGGGTGGCGGGGGCCCCAAGGCTGGGTTTGTGCATGTGGCCTGAAAAGGCTGTCTGAACGCTGGGCAAGTGCCAGCCTTTGGGTGAGGGGCGGGGACAGGGGACAAGGGGAGAAACTTGGGAGGGAAATACAGCCGTGCTTTCTAATGAGGCCAATGCAGGAAGGTTCCCTCCTGTGGACAGACTTCCCAGCTGGTTTGGAATGAAGGATGGGGGAGCCCCTACCCCGCGATGCTGATAGAGGAGGAGT